TCATCAGGAGGTTACTGGGTTTTGAAGGCAATGAAGTCACTGGAATCTCAAATGGTAGAACAGATATGTCAAGAGTTCATGCTGAAATTTTTACAACCGGGCAAGCTTTAACAAAAGTCAGAGACTTGAAGAATCAGTACAAGATCTGGGATATAATCATCCATGGCTGCATTCATCACAGAAAGGAAACAAGTTCTCCTGACTATATAAATGCTGACCAGTAATACCTTCTGTTCTGTCTGGGAACGAATGTAAAGATTGATTTACCCTACCTTCTATTTGATCACCTCTAGACACATCTCAAGGAAACAAGGGAAGCAGAAAGAATGAAGAACCCTAAATCTAAAAGGAATTGGATTCCAATGGGAAGGTTGATTTCAAACATTTTGACAGAGAATGGTCTGATTGCACATTTGGACGAAGCAAACCTGCTGGGGGAGTTAGAGCCTACGTGTGGGAAAGCTATGACAGGAAAGAATCTGGTGAAGAGAAATCTCATTGATAAACTGCTGGTGGAACCTACCCCTTACGTATCAGCAACCATTAGCAGAAGAATAATTCCAATTGCTGACTTTCCACTTTTCAACTCAGGAGATCACCCTCGTATCATTCTGCATTACATTGCAATTTGCAAAGAAAATGGAACTCCAATTGATCCTGCCTGGCTTCAAGGTAAAAATGAAGCAGCTCCAGATGTTGTCTTCCAGTAGCCAATGAAAAGGAAAGCAGTTGAAGGACCCTTTGCTAGACCCCAGAAGAAGAAGAAGAAATTAGGTACACCTTCTTAGACTTTTTCTGTTTATGATTTTGTACATATATCTACATCTGCTAAACCTTAAACATTAGGTGACATAGATGTAGACATACATTTAACCATTCCCTCTGAACCTCTTTCTATAAAACCTATAATCAATCAAGTTTTATCAGACTTAAGATATTTTAACTTTGATGACTCTCTTGAAACCCAAACACAACCATCTCAAACACAAATCTCACAAAATAATCCTGCTGAAGACTTTTCTCAAACACCTCCCAGACCTTTATCACCAAGACCTTCTGAATGGTATGATGGCTCTTGGAGAATACCTGGAATAAACGTACCTCTGGCCATGCAAAAGACACCCTTCACCCTACCCTCTGAGAATATGTTTTCTCTGAACAGAACTCAACCACAAAATCCTACCCCCTCTGCTGAAAACACCATCATCATTTCTCCTGACGTCACACCACCCATATCTCCAGAACTTCCAACACCTAACTCACCAAAGCTTTCACCTCCTCAATCTCCAGAACATACCCTCAATCCATCTCATGAACCATATGAAACTCTTGAACCATCAGCAACAATTGAACCATCTGAAAATCCTGACCAAACAGAAACACCTGAACAATTAGAAACTCCTGAACCAACTGACTTTCGGAAAACTGTAGTTGATTTTGAATCCCTACAATTTCTGAAAAATAAAACCTACAAAAAGGTTGTTCCCAAACCTGTCCAGCCAGATGTAAATGTATGTTTTCAGAATTTTATAACAGAATTACAAGCTTGGATAGACCTGCTGAAGGCAGACTGCACCAACAACGTGAACCCAGCAGCAACAGATCTTCTATGGCAAACGTTCAGACGAACATTAGATGATGAATCACTAAAATTGTAAGACATGTGTCATTCTCAAATGCTTGAGAATTTCTCCAAACATCTGCATGCCTTCTAATCAGAAGTTATGGATACTTGGGACAAGAAGTCTACTCTGTTGATTGCCAATGCTCCTGCTGATCAAATGGACATTTCAGAAGATGAGTCTGAAGATGCCTTTGAAGATTCAAATCCTCTGGAAATAACTCTATTTAATCAACCTTCTGCTAAAGCTGCACCAGAAGGTGTGCCAACTCTTATGGTTGATCTAAGAAATCTTCTCTCAAATGTTGTTCGTTCTGACTCAGCTGCTTCTACACTAAAGGTTATATCTGCTAAAGCTACTTCATCTTCTGCTCCTACTTCACTGGTTATGGATACTCTGAATGAGCTTAAGAAGGAAAATGAAGCTATTCATGAGCGCTTGGACAAGCAAGATGGGACAAACAAGGAAATCAGAAACTGGATGATGAAGCAAGAGGAATCTTCATCTGAAATCAAGAATCTTCTTTTGTCTCTTGTTTCTAGAAAATCTTAAGCGTCATTATGTTTCTAGTTTTTTGTTTTGTTTTGTACCTCTGAATCTTTTTATAAAAACCTTTTACGCTCTTTAATTCTTTTTATACTTTTTGATTATGACAAAAAGGGGGAGAAAATGAGTATTTTGATCTAATCTTTGATGAATAGTTATGGGACTAAGTCTCAAACATTACTAACAAAATACAAAGATTTCTTTCTCTGTTTAAAGAATTTTGCAGGTATCACTAAACTCTGGAAGTTTAATCATCTGAACATCATCTTCAAAAGACTTGCTGAAGAAATCCTAAAAGAAAAATCTCAAAGCTCTGAAGAAAAATATCAGGAAGTTTTTCTTATACATCTATTTTTTTTTCAAAAAAAAAAAGAAATATTTATTTCAGGGGGAGATTCTTATCTCTTGTTCAATTTTTTTTTCAAAACCTGAATATTTTTGTCATCATCAAAAAGGGGGAGATTGTTAGAACAAGTTTGGTTCTTATCATATCTCAGAGTTTTGATGATAACAATAAAATATATTTTGTATAATTGATACTCTGATGAGTATATTTCTTTGTTTCAGATAATGTTCTGACTGAAGTATTTTCAAAGGTGAAAATCTTTTTACGTGCTGAGCTAAATAAAAATGAAGAAGTTCCTTGATGAAAGAACTATTTATTTAGTGCAAGTTCTGACGCTGGCTCTGATAAGAAGCAATTTAAAGCATCCTTTAATCTTAGCAAGTTTCCATGCAAACTCTGTTCAGAAGTATTTTGCAAGCAAGCTCTAATGAGAAGTTATTTGCAAGCAAATTCTGAAGCAAGATCTGAAGCAAGTTCTGAAAGATTAAAGAAGCAAACAATCTTGTCAAGTTTCAGAAAACAAGCTCTGACAGTGCCGCTTGTTCATTTAATGCAAAGACGGATAAAGCACTCAAGTGTCTCTACACTAGTTCATTGAAAGAAACAATAATGCAAGCTAACACGCAAACATTAATTGCTCCTCACTTTTGAAGGCAGTAACTGTCGTTTTCTTCATGCTATAAATAGAAGATCTTTTATTGCAAGCCAACTACTAACGTGAAAATTATTCTGCTGCTCACAAATTATTTTCTTAAAAACACTTTGTTATTTTCTCAAGTGCAAAACTTATCTTAGTGATAAATCACAGTTTGTGATATAGCTTTCTAAGAAGCAATTTGTTTCACTATTGTAAAGATTTAATTCTTGTATTTGTTCCTTGAGAGACCAAGCTTGGTCAGATTTCTCAAGAAGGCTAGGACTAGTTTGAGTCTTAGTGGTGTTAGTCACTTGTAAGTTTACTTGTGCTTTGTATTGTTAGTCACAACCGTTTGGTTGTGTGATTGTAATTTGTTTGATTATAGTGAATTAAGTCCTTGTTGAGAAAGGTGAAATCATCTTGGCGGGTGGACTGGAGTGGTTTGAATTGAAATGAACCAGGATAAAAATAATTGTGTCTTTTCATAATTGTTATCGTGCGCGCCAAGCTAGTTGCTCAATGAAAATTTATTGACACATTGGGTATAACATCTCTATGGAATGTGTTCTATGAGTTTACTTTCTCCTTCCTAGAAGATGTGCAAAAATCAAATGCTTGAACCCGTGGAACCTGAGCCCAGGGGTTCTCAAGCTTTTCCCTTGGACAAACAATTTCATCCCGTCTAATGTCATACAAACCTCAGTTCAAGTTTAGGTAAGAATCCATGGATTTTATCCTATCTATATGTACATAAATTTTTTAATTTCAGAGATTTTTTTATTAAAGAGGTCCGTTAATAATTTGATACTATTGTATTTTAACAATGGTTATTTGCTTCAAAGATAATTGCATTATATTTTAACAATAATTATTTGCTTCAAAGAAAATTGCAAAGTGAGATAAAAATAAGGTGATAAATGTAAAATAGGAGAATTTTTTAATTATAGATGCTCTAACTTAACTTTATCTTAAAATCGTTTATAAAGGGATGAATGTCACACTTTATAATGTTTTTTTTTTTCCGATCTTATCTCTTTCTAATATAATCTTATATTTTTTTAAATATAAAATTCAAAATCATGTGAATGAGATTATTAAAATTTATTCAACTTAATAGATATGTGTCGTGACTGTGATACTATTAATTGAACGTATTACTTTAAATTTTGTCGCACGTATGACTGAAACGTGTGGTTTTTGAACATGGCAATGATTATGTCATTAACTAATAATATTATATTTAAGTTAAATAATAAAAAATTATTAACATTAATTTTTTTTATAACTTTTAGTCATATAATTTTATTTTATTTTATGTATTAGTTCTATGCATTTTCTCATAGAAATAATACATTTATATAAAAAAAATAGATTCATCCAACCTAAATGATCTTTTGGACAACAAGACTAAACAAAATCATGTGGGCTCTACTCTTTCCTTACCCTTTTATGTGATCTTTTTGCCTCTAACAAATTTTTAGTTTGTAGAAAAAATTAAAATAAATAAATAAAATAACTAAAATAAAATCCTCTTTTTCTATTTGTGCTTTATCTCTTCTTATTTAAAACGTTGTCATTCCTTGTTCTCAATCATGTAAACTAAACTTCATAAGAAAACTGTTTCTCTCATCTCTCTCTTGTGTTTTTTTTAAGAGCTCTCTCTTTCTCTCCTATGTGACTAAGCCATGGAAGTAAGAGGGAGATAGAGTTCACAATGTCATTGAATCTCTTTAGTTTTCAATTTCTCATCCTTTGATTTGTTTTTTTTTTTTTCATTACAATTTTATTTTGCTTATTTTCTTTACAAATAGCATTTTGAAAAGGAAAAAAAATCAAAATTTTCTTCACCATGAGTTCACTAAACTTGAACAATGATGGTTATGGTTTATCTTTTGACTTGAATGCTCCTTTTTTATCTCAAGTTCCTTCTTCATCTTCTGCTCCCTATTTGGGTCATCATGAAGTGTATGAAAAGTCTGAAATACCCTTTGAGATTTTGAACCCTTTAGTGGTCCACCCTAATGGGAATGAGAAAATGGTTCCAAACAATGAAGGGAATTTTGGGAATGGTAAAAAAAACTTGTCTTTGATAAATGATGAGACTGAAAATGAAACTAAAGACATGTTTTTTGAAACACAGAAATTTATGAACTCTAATCTCTTTATTAGAGGTCATTGGAGGCCAAATGAAGATGCTAAGCTTAAAGCACTAGTTGCTGAACATGGTGCTCAAAATTGGAACACAATTGCTGAACATCTACATGGTAGATCAGGTATAATAATCCTAAACTTTAACAGAAAAATTTTGTTTTTATTAAAATTGAAAAAATATATTTTTTATTTTCTTAATAGTTTATTTTTATTTAAAAAATAATTTTTTCAAGAGATATTTTAATATTTTATTAAAATTGCAAAAATATTTTTTGACCGAAATATTTTATTTAATTTTGATAAAATACAATGAATTTAGCACAAGTAGTTGGTGCGTATTGAAAGCAATTGTGGTTGGTTGGTAATATTTTTTTAAATGGAATTTTTTGCAATGTAACGTAACATTTCAGAGTTTGCAAATTTTACAGAAACTGATGTTATTATATTGAACGCTATTGTCAGACTTTGAATCTATTATTCACACAATTGTGTGTGTGAATTTTTAGTGGTTATTATTGACATAACATTTGAGTTTTTTTGGTGAATGTAGGGAAAAGCTGCAGATTAAGGTGGTTTAATCAGCTAGATCCTAAAATCAATAGGGCATCTTTTAGCAAGGAAGAAGAGTATAAGCTTTTGGAAGCTCACAAATTTTATGGGAACAAATGGGCAGCCATCTGTAAACTCTTTCCTGGAAGGACAGACAATGCTGTCAAGAATCATTGGCATGTGATCATGGCTAGGAGGCAAAGGGAGCAATCATCTAGAAAGAAAAGACCAACATTTCAAACTCCTTCAAATGAATCACTCACAAGTAGTACTATTGATGAGTCTAACTCAAATTTCCTCAAATTCAATCTTGCTACTAGGCCTTTTCTCAATTACCAATTCTATGGATCACAAATGGGTATGCTTTTAATTTCTTGATTTTGGTTAAGTTTCATGGCGTCGATTTCGATCGTAATGTTAGAGTTGTTAAATATTTTTAAATAAAGACTTGTGACGATAATATAAATTGTAGTGTCTGAATTTTTATGTCTTTGAAAATTCAATAGAGACTACATCGGTCGCAATCGACCACCAATCTCATTTAAAATCCTTAAATTATATATTTTTTAATATTTTTTTATTTTATTTTGTGTCAAATTATAAATTATATTAAATTGATTTAGATAAAATTTGCAACTTCAATCTGGATTACAATTTTAGGGTTTTTCGATTCTCTATCATTGTAATTGAAAACGGCGCAACTAATCTTGATTATCTACAACATTAAATATCTATGAATGCGGTCGAAAACAACCACATCTAATCTCGATTATCTACGATATTAAATATCAGTGAGTGCGATGAAAAACAACAGTATTTGATCTCGATTATCTATGAAATTCTACTTTAATTTATGCTATCATAAGCTAGTATAACTTTTTGTGTTGTGCAATTTTTAGGTTTACTTGGAGCAAGACACCAAGAAGCTAGGGATTTTGGTTTTGACAAGATTTTCAGTGCAATGAAAGGTTCATCTATAGGTTACATGGAAAAGCTGAAGAGTGTGGACCAATCCAATTATTCAGATTCAAAGTCAGAAGTTTCAGTATCTGAGTCAGTTGCAACAAACAGGAACAATGAAACATTTTTTGGAGACAAGATTAAGAAGCCATTTATTGACTTTCTTGGAGTAGGTTATACTTAGGGAAATTTTGCTGATGAATTAATCTTAAGCTGAAAGTGATTAAAGGGTATTTTGGGAATTTGAAGAGGGAAAAGTGTAATGTAATAGTTGTAAGGAACATTGATGCTATAGGTTCTATCTGTACACTAACAATAGTGAACAGTTAGTTCCATAAAAAGCTAAACGTGTTTGGTTTTTTTGAGACAAAAGTTTAAGTGTTTGAATAAATTTGGTGAAGATGATACCAAATACAAATAAATTAAATAAAGTGATTTATATTTTAATATATTTATTTGTGTACTCGTGTTAATGTTTGATTGGCTGCGAAGACAATTTATAAATAATTATGATAATTACCATTTTTTGTTATGTAAATATTAATTTGAATATGTTTGATTAGTAAATTATAAAAAAATATTTATTTAAAATGTTTTGATATAGTTTTCTGAGAAATAGATTGAGTATGTTCAATTATCATTTTTGCTATTTGATGGGTTAAACTATATGTCTTCTCATTTTTTTCTTCTTTTATAATTAATAATTTGTCTTAATTTTAAAAAAACATTTGAGATTAAAAATTAATTATAAAAATAAGATTAATTATTATTAATTTTAATACAGATGAGTAGACAATTTAATGTATATATATGCTAGTTGAGTTAAATAGATGTTATTTACCTATATGCTAGTTGAGTTAAATAGATATTATTTATTTGGATATAAGTTCAATAAGTGATGAAAATACTATTTATATTTAAATAAGTTATTAATATTTATAAACCAATAACTTTAAAAAAATTAATAACAATTTTAATATATAAATTTAATTGTTTTTCAACTATTATCTTTGTCCTAAATAATGATCCTCGAAACAAACCATAAAAATTAAGAAATTTGATTGTGAACTATTGATATTATATTTATGAATTATCTTTCAAAAGAGCGAATAAATTAATATTTTGATTAAAGTATTTATTACAAATTGTGGAAAAGAAGTAAAATAATTAGGGTTATGTTGATAAATAAATAATTATGCAGTTGAAAATTTGAAAAAGATCTTATAAGAGAAAAAACTCAAGAAAATTTTATATTTTAAGAATCAATATAATATATTTGATAGTATTATTATAATGGGTCTTCACCAAACTAACCTTGACATTTAAAAATTATATTAAATACATAATAAATTTAAATAAATTTTTATTGAATTTCTTTTAACGTAAATCATATATTCTTTGCACACAACTACATATCAATTTCTCGAATTGAATAGAACTACAACAAACAAAAAAATCTAAATCTAAAAGATTTAACATTGAATACTAAAGTTGAATTCAAACTAAAATCTCATTAAAAAACTCTCGCAAACATTACGACTCATATTTTTTACAACATAATATATTAAAAATTAGTGAGAAACCGATTCCTCACATAATTTCTATTAAACGTTCTCATCCAAATGCATTTGAATGTCTTATATCGTAAGGAACAAACCCTTCCTAAATATTTATTATTTTGAATTTAAACATTTTTGTCTTATGGTATGCCATGAGTAAATCTATGTAAGACACCAATTTTTTTAATTAAATTAACGGTGTAACTAATTAGAAGCCTTAAAGGGCTTTTCTTTTCAAAAATACTTTTTTTAAAAATTATTTTAGAAGATGTTGGAAAACTTTGAAAATCTTCTCCGTTTTCTTAGAGTAAAAACTCTTAATTATAATACCCTTCAACTAGTTTAAATTTTGTGAAAACCCCTAATTCTAATACACTTCAAGTAATTAAAAAAATTTCAACAATTTAAAAAGTGATATAAATTTCAACATTGTTTTCTTTTTAATGTATTTTCCTTAATCTAGATGAATTTTTAATGGTGTAAAACATCTTTTTCATTTCTTACACATGAGTATAAAACAAGAGGAAATTGAACTGTAAAAGTAGCACTATCGAACTAAAAAACAAATAGAAATAAATGAACTTATAGATAGCACAGAAAGCAAGGGACAGTTAAAGAAAGTAAAAGCTGAAAAATATGACAAACCTGAATTTGTATTGTAGCGTGTGGTCACCAATACTAAAATAAGGGTTAAAGTTTTCAACAGTTCCAAAATTTTGAATAAAGAGAAGAACAATCCATGGCATAATAGCTGGTTAACTGTATTCTAGTTCTACCATGTCATCACCAATAAAAGGGTAAAAGTCTTCAAGAACATAAAACTCTTGATGTTTATTTAGCGACCGTTTCAAACAATCACAAAACTTTTATTATTCATTTTGTTGTGGTTTAAAACCGCCACTATACAAATTCTAAAATTTTTTAACATTTAAAAACGTCGCTAAATGATTGAATAGTAAAAAAATGAGGTCTCCTACTTTAGAGACATATAAAGGTCTTTCACGATAATCAACACCGATTAATTAAGTCACAACACTTGAAACTCAAGTTTATTTTTATTAACTTATAATTTATTCATTACACTTCAAAGTTTCAAACTGATATATTTTATAATTTTATTTTTTGACTTAAATAGTATGTTGTTGGAACATGTCCATGTTTTAATATGTTGAGTTAAAAAATTTCTCAAGTCCCACATTATTAGAATATCTTTTTGGTTGAAAAAATCATTTATTCTCACATTGCTCATGTGAGAAATATTAACTATCCTACTTCACTATATAAGGAGTGCATATGTTTCATTCCAAATCACACCAAAAACTATTCTATTAGTTTTTCCTTCCTCACTCTCATAACTCTGCGTCCCTCGAATTGTTGAAGCGCTATCTTCTTTCCCTTTCTTCCTACTCGTTGAATTTTCTGAGTATTTTCTTGAATTCTCTTTAGAGAATTATGTTAATTTCTCCTCATTTGAGTTGAGAAAATTTCAAGTTTAATCTTTTGGATTCTCTTTGGAGAATTATTTGAATTTCTCTTTGTTGGAGAAATTATTATGAGTGGTCAAATGACCATTATTAATTTCTCTTTGGAGAATTATTTGAGTTTTTTTTTGTTTAAGAAATTATTATGATTGGTCTTTGTACCAGATACTACGAGTGGTGTTGATACCATATTTGAATGGTCTTGTACCATCATAGGGTGTATTTCTAGACCGATTATCTATAATGCAAGTAGTAATCGTACAGTATAGAACTGGGATGTTTTATCCTAGAGGCGGCGCGGTAGTTTGACTGCTTTGCATAATTTCGAGCAGTGCCGCGAAACGTCTTAAAGAGAGCGACCTAGTCCGCAACTCAACCTAGTAATTTCTTCGGTGGAAAATGTTTTAAAATCCAAAAACCAACAATTTTAAGACGTTTCAAACTGCCACGACTACCGAAGAAATTATTGTTTTTTTGCGGATATTGTCGTTGAGAAATCGTTCATGTTTGAGAGAAGTCACTTCAAATGTTGAAAACAAAAGATGAAGTTCTTAATGTTGAAAAAAGTTGCTAACGTTTTGATCGATGGTATTCTATTGCTCCTTCTGAATCAATCGAACAAACTAACGGTAGTAAATCTGGAGATTTAGAGGAACACTTAATAGTGTTGAAGTTGAATCTGCTGCACAGATTAAAGCGAATGATTTACAACATAGTAAAGAAATCACCTTATAGAAAGAGAATGAAAATCTCTACAAAAATCATATTTTGAATAGACTCGCAGATGATCTGTATGATAATTACAGTTGATGTGATACTGCAAAACAAGATTGAGAGACTCGGAAAAAGAAGTATGACGTAGAAGCTGGAGCAAAGAAGTATGTTGTTAGCCGCTACTTCAAGTATCAAATGCGAAAATGTAAGGTCGATGGAGGCTCAATGTTACGAACTTCAAAAGATTGCTTAAAAGATCATCACAAAAGGTATGTGTTTAAATGAACAATTTCAAATTGGTTTTATTATTGACAAACTACCCCATAGTTTGAATGTTTAAAAAACAAAAAAGGGAATCTTAGAGACAATATCAAAAAGAAAAAGTATTGGTTGTTTCAAACAACAAAAAGAAATTCGGTGTAGTTCTGAAGCCATTTGGCAAATAATTAAAGAATCGGAACTGCAATATTGTGAACCGAAATAAGAATGGGAATCCTTCTATGATCTCAATAGCTCCAACTAGGCAACAACCACCACCTAAAAGAAATGACGTTGGCTTCCCTTTATTTTAACTATGGAAAATCAAGTCATATGACTAAGAAATGTAGAAGTAAGCTTGAACTTGGTGTTGTCCCTAATGCATGGGTCAACCTGACTAATGGGCAATTTATTGCTATGGTCATTGAAATCAACATGGTTGATGAATATGTTGGTTGGTGGATAGACACATGCGTCTCTCGTTGTGTCTATTATGATCGTGTTATGTTTAAACATACATGAATACTAAAGATAAGAAAGTGTTGTTGGGAGATGGCCAGACCACCAATGTTGCTGGAATTGTAGACATGGAGCTAAATTTCACCTTCAAAAAGACTTTAATCTTAAGGAATGTTATGCATGCTCCTAAGATTAGAAAGAATATTGTTTCTGGTTTTCTTTTAAATAAGATAGAGTTTAGTCAGTCTATTGGGGTAGAATTGTATGGCATTACGAAGAATGAAGTTTATATGTTTAAAATTTTTGTAAAGAATTTGAAAATGATATAATAAGAATTTACAGTGATAGAGAAACTGCATGATTTTAGTTTATTAATGAATTTTATACATGGAATTGTACATGAAACGACTGCACCATACTATCTTGCAATGAATGGTAAAATAGAAAGAAAGAATATAACTTTTACTGAACATGTTGTTGTAATCATGATGAATTCTGATGCTGCTCCTCACTGGTGGGGGAAATTTTATTGACTGTTTGCTATGTCCTGAATAGAGTCCCCAAGTCAAAATGTAAGATCTCTCCTTATGAGATATTAAAGAAAAGACAATCAAACTTGTCTTATTTGAGAACTTGGGGTTGTCTGACTTATGTTAGAATTTCGGATCCGAAACGAGTTAAACTCGCCAGTAGAGCATATGAATGTGTTTTCA